TAGACATGCTTGGCGAAGGCTTCAGCTAGGGTAACCAATCGGTTTCTTCATTTCTTCATGCTTTTCTCATTTGCAATGTTTCCCTCTTCTGTTACGACATTTGGTATCTTGTTCCAGCCATTGCTTGAAGTGGCAATTTATTTTATTTTGCCAGTGCCAATTCTTTAAGGGCTCTCAGAGGGCACCCTTGTATTCAAAAAACAACCTATATTTGAGAAAGCATCCAGCCCGATGTAGTTTGAAGTACCCTAGAGAGCTACTTCAAAATCTGTCCAGGCTGGGCATGGGGAAACATTAGCAAGATGTTATAGTTATGCTGAAAAGTGCTGAGGGATGCATACCTGTGGCCGGTAGAAAACAATATGTTATTGGAAGGGTAGCTTGAAAGTAATTAAAATAATCATGATCGGTACACTTATTGCTCCAAATGTAATATGACATGCAAAGTATTTCTACCTGATAATTTAAGAGAATCCATAAAAAAGGAAAATTGAATATGCATGGGTAATTTGCTGGGAGGTAATAAAACGTTAATTGGAAGGACAGAAAAGAAAACCATCTGTGGTGCAAAAGCGTCAGAGAATATAGAATGGCATGATTATGTATAAGGTAATTGCTGCAATTTAAAGTACCAATGAATAAAGAGATGTCACTTGTCTAAGTAACTTAAAAGATTTGTTGAAGAACTTCATGAAATACTGCAGTCAGCATAATCTCAAGACTAAATATTATTTATAGATCACAGGCACAGAAGGGCAGAAGTTCATTAAATTAGTTCCACTTAGTGAATAATTACAGTTTGAACATTTCTAAAAAGAAGTTAAAAGAACTTCTTTTAAGGCTCAGCCATGGCAGTGGAAATGACACTTTCTCGGCAGAAAACAGAAATTAGAGAAAAAACATTCCCAATTTAACATTATAGGGATATACTAGTAATAGCTTTTATATTTTTTGAGAATTACCTATGTCCAATACTTTTTGTCCTTTATTATGGATGCATCAGCATTAGCTTCCTTGACCAAGTGTTGGATTAATCAGTTATTCCCAGCCTTCTCCTTTATGAAGACCACTACATCATCAATGAAAGCTTTCGGGGACCACTACAGAAGCTTATAGAACCTGGGATGTCCTGGGGTCCTCCATCCAGTTCCTCCATCCTGTGGTCCTCCATCCTGTGGTCCTCCATCCACACCCTAGCTGGGTCTGAACTTCCTTCCTTCCTTCCTTCCTTCCTTCCTTCCTTCCTTCCTTCCTTCCTTCCTTCCTTCCTTCCTTCCTTCCTTCCT